CGCGCACACTCACACGCGCGCACGCACACACACACACACACACACACACACACACACACACACAGAGTTAACATCTTCTTTAGAAAATATAATATTTTATTAGCAAAAATCAATAATAAATTAAAAAAAGTTACAAAAATATATATATAATTAATTAAAATTAAAAAAAATTAATAATTAATTAAAATATATAATCACATAAATATAAAATAATTATAATTAATTAATAATAAGTAAATAATAAATAATAAAGAAAGTTGAAAAAAAAATTCTTTTCTTTCCCTTATTAAAATATATATACACAAAAATAAATGATAATTAATAACTGATATATATAATTAAAAAAGTTAAAGCATAAATTATCAATTAAAAATAAATAAATAATAAATAATAAATAATAAATAATAAATAATAAATAATAAATAATAAATAATAAATAATAAGAAATAATCATAAAATATTTTTCCGATAATTAAAAAATAAATAAAAAACTAAAAATAATAAATTTAAAAAAAATTCCCTTGTAGTTTAAAAGAACTAGCCCGCCTCCCCTTGGAAAAGATCATTCCTCTATAACTCGTCAGGATGATACATACCCTGACTTAACCCCTAAGGATACAAGACAAAACAAGAAAGTACACCCGGACGAATGATATGACCTGATGCAGAGTGAACACACACATAAAGCAAAAACTTGAAAAAATAGGGCCTGAACTGAACGTCCTCCAAACCACGGTGATTTGGACGATTTGGCACCTACTGGGAACGCCTGTCCGAAACGACACAAAACTCCACGCGACTGCAATAAAGACAAACAAGAATGCAACATACCTGGCGTACTTTACAGCTAGCTCTTCCACGTACTGCAAAACATTGCATAGATACTTACATGAATTGAACAAGAAAGACAAAACCTAAGAATGCTGAGATTCGAAATACCCCTGGCGAGGTTTACTACGAGACAAAATCGGTAAGAAGAACGTTGAAGACCCACCAATTTACCATCCTCCCGCAACACACCCTTAGGATTTCCTCCAAATACAATGGAAGCTTACCTCGGTCCTAGATGACACAAACGACACATTAGAAGACATCTCCCCTGCGAAAAAGACAAGAAACTGAACTATATGTCTTGCGTTCTCCATAGCTGGCACTGCAAGCATACAGCAACAAATGCAAATTTGGACTTAACAAAAAAGACAAAACCGAAAGATTCCTGAAACATGATGAACTCCTGGGGGACTAGCTATGAGACAAAAACCTCTAAAGGACACAAAGTAAACCCGCCTCTATCAAAATTCTGATCTGCAGACCATACATCTCTCTCGTAATACAACTATACTCCCTACTATCCTTACCCCCGGACTGATATTATCCCCCTACACGAAGCATAGTATAACTCAATCTGCTCCCCGAAAAATAATGCCCCAATTACACAGCCTGGCAGCATATCCCCGCAATTCCCTGCCTACTCTCCTCAACTTCACCCCCACTACAGACTATTGCCGTTTTGCCCCAAAAGATATACACTCTCTGGTACAATTGAAAATATAGGAACACACAACCTCCTGAATGCTTCATTGAAGTGCCACATCCACCCCCACTGTTGCTCTTCTCCTCCCCATAACTCGAGTCCCCGTTGTGCTACGCGAGCGAGCACGACTGGCTGCTAGCTACATCGGGTACCTCAGCCTGTCTCCACGCTTCCTGGTGCGACGTACGCGGTGCTTACATCGTTGCCGGCTGACGGTACGCTTCGGCTACAGCTCCAGCTATGGCGACAGCTGACTCGCCTGCGTCACAGGCCATGACTACTCGGGTAAGACTCGCTAAACGCAATCTCTTCATTCTTACCCGCTGGGGCTACCTATCCTAACATGAGCCTACTAAGCTAACCCCTCTGATGAGCTGCTATGGGTGCTATGCGGCGAAAAGCGCGCTTAAGGGCGTGCACCCCCCCTATGGTTGGGTATTGAACCCTCTCCTAACATCAACTAATTCACTAACCCCAATTGCTCCTATGTTTGTTGTGTGTACACTGTTGGTGGCTAACTTGGACTAATTGACTTATGTCTAATGTCCCCAAAAGTTTTTTTGAGGATGGCTGTGTTTATACACAACCCCCCCCACACACTCGCCCGGATCGTTGATCCTGTTGCCATGGCTGGGGTCGAATCCCCACCACCTTCGACCAGGCCTACTATCCAAACTAACCGATTCCATACACCACAGTTGCACCAGCCTAATTTAACCCGATTCTGACTTCCACATACCCCACTCTCTCTTCTCTCTCAATTCTCGCCACCCACATACCCCACTCTCTTCTCTCTCATTTCTCGCCACCCACATACCCCACTCTCTTCTCTCTCATTTCTCGCCACCCACGAACAACAATCCACACAGCCCACCCGCTATAAAAACCATCACGAATCACGCACAAAAAATACCCCTGACCCCCCCCCCCCTACCCCCCACTGCCCAACACCTTCTCTAAACACCTGTTATCCTTGCATACACCGTTTACCCTCACCCCCCCTGATTATAAAAGGTCGATAGATGCTCACTACATTCGCATCTGACTACATTGCCACACTATGAAATTTTACGGTTTCTTACTTGCTTCCATGTTTACCCAGTTGATAAGCACCGATATTACCCCGATCAAATTTCTTGTTTAATTACACCGGCTACCACTCTTTTAACCAGCCTAGCTAAACCAACTTACAACCCCTTCATATGATGTAACACGGCACTAGACTGACGGATTTACGCAGTATAGTACGCTAAATACCTTACACGTACAATGATGTTTTTTTCCGATCATACTTACGGTTGCGACGAATTCCTTAAAATAACTAAAACAGGACCTAAAATAAACTAAATATTTTTGCGCTCACATTACATGGAAATTTTTATTTTTTGCTACATAGGGGGCAGTAAAAACTATGATTAAGCTGTTTGCGTCATGTCTCTTGAATGCTTTCATACCAGTGTTTGTATTTGCGATCTAAATTAACCAGGATTTGTAAGCAAATGCTTGTGTTTTGATCTTAATTCGGAACTTCTAATTGGTACAAAGATCAATAATTCAAGGTTCATCATGCTCCCCCTTTAAAAAAGTGGGTTCAATATATGAATGTTTACAAGGATGTCTTACCACTGTTAATTCCTCCAAGTCAAAACAAAAAATCATACGGGATTCTTCTTACCCCTGTACAGTTACATCTTTTAAACCTCCATACTTAATGAAAGAATTGCAATATGAAGTGCTAATTTTTTCGTACCGTACGTGATAATAACCCCAAAAGGGTAAACCAGATATATTTAACAGTTTTCTGAAACTTTATAATGTGCGAGTAAGCATCCGCATGGTTAAACTAACAGATTCTTACTACTATGGTTATAGGGTATCTATATTTTTGGTATGTTACTAATTGCATAATACATAACTCTTATCCTCGTTATCGTAATTAATTTTAAAAGTATTGTCCCTATATTCAGATATTTGATTACATGCTTGATTCTGTTTTCGCTTTGGCATTCTTTTATTTGCTATTACATCTGTGTGTAGCATACTTTAGTCTTCATTTTTTTACAAACGTCAGTATACACTCACAACACATGATCTATGTTCTCACAATCGTGAGAACCGCCATCCACATTATCGTTTTTTTACTCAATATTTATGCTCTAAATATACGGAACAATACTTGCTCGTGTGCGCCGTACCTCAACTGTTTATTCGATACTATTATAGTTGTTTGTCGGATGTCGATAATTGCGCAAGCGTCATCGTTTTTAGCAATAGCAACTTGGCGTTTTTTCCAATTGATAGGTCTTTACTATGATACTTGTGCGCCACATTTCGTCTTCA